AGCTAGTTATTCTACTGGTCTTTAGGGGTTTATCCTGCCAGCAGCCTTTGAATATACTGGAGAGAGTTACATGTGCAGCAAAGATAAACGGCGACCCGTTTCACCCATCCCCTTCCCCACCCCTCCCCCTCAAAAACAACAACACGCTCTTCTTGCATTTCTAAGTACCGCAGCTAGAATCGTAGTAATGAATAAATAGCAGTGGGATTTAATTTGCAAATCGGAAAACAAAACCACATCCTGAAACAGAGGGACATGAAACATGAAACAGAGGGAAGTTTATCGCATCTGCAGTGTTGCTTCGCGCTCAAAGTGCCAGTGTTCTCCATTTAGATGACCTCCGCTCTGTAGCATCGTCCGTTGAGTGAGCTGAAGCTGGTGCAAATGGCTCATACATACTGTAGCGGGTCTCATGCCTCCCTCACCGCGGATCCATCTACACCTAACAAAAGCCAGAGAAGAACAATTGCTGTCTTCTTGACAAGGGACGACAACATCTCCTTCGTTGATGTCGTCCGTCCAGGATGCTGGAGATCTTTTTGATCTACTGGAACTGTTGATCACATCAATATAAGCGATGAGCAAGCCTACTGCATCCTAATATTACTCCATCCGAATATGCAACGTGTCGAATAAAGAATATGCCTTAAACTGGCATGTACATGGCTTATTTCCACTGCCAGAGACACAGGAACGCGAAACTGGAAAATGCAAAACTAATCTACGCGAGCAGGATTCGATCCACAAAGTGCCGTATCGTCGCCCAATTCAGAGGAAGGGACCGTAGATAAAAACATCGCTGTTGCGGCGGTGAATGCCTAGTGTGCCACCACATGATAATCATATTTTGCCTTTATTCAAAGCCATTTTCGAAGCCTTATCAAAGAGCACCTTCAAAACAATGCATGCTCGAAGTTACAATAAAAATGGAGCCCATTAAGATGGTCAAAACCGCCTAATCTTGTCGAATTCTTTTTACTCAGTTTTTGACCTACCCAGAAACGCATAGCAAAAATGAAACCCATTTTTGTGATCCTTGTATGGACCCCTACAACAAGCAACAAACCATTTCCAAAAAGCGCGCCACGACCTGAAAGACCTCCCTTGTAAGTGCCGACATAGTGCGGGGACTTCCATTGGGAGAAATGTCGTATTTGCTCGTTACTTCATGATGAAGAGGAGCCGTACCTAGCCTTAAAAGAGGTTTTGGAAGTCTAAGAAAAGTTTATGAAGACATCTCGAAAAAGGTGGTAGGTCTTGGGAAAAGTCGGTATGATGGCAGGCAGTATGCGAAGGTGGTGGGGGGGGGAGGTGCGTACTGATCTCCATAAAAAAAAGAGGGGAGGGAGTACGGACTTGAGCAATATCCCCACCCCAACCAGTGATTTGCCCTGTGGAAAAACACTATTCTTTAAAATATTTCAAATGTCAAATATTACAAATGTGATTTCAAATGTCAATATTAGTGCCAGTACTTCATGATGCAATGTTCCCCAGGATGATTCTAGCAAATTGCACCATTGTTGTGCGAATCCCTTCCCCGTCTTCGGTCATGTGGTGAGGAGGGGAGGCTTTGAGGGGGGGGGGTCCCATAGTTAATTTCTCCTTTTTTTCCGGTTCACCCACTTCTGCGTTGGTAGCCAGGTATGACTACCATGTCCAGCTGTATCGAAAATGTCTACGATTTGACTGCACAGTTTCGAGGAAATTTGTTAAGATTCGTTAAGGATATAGATAGATTGTGAGGGCGTTAACGCCACCTCCCTCCTTTGGTGAGGTCGTACTGACCCGCGATTTTACCCATATTGAAGAGGTCTTCTGCAATCAAGTCACCGCCCTAAAATACGACGGAAGGTGGTGCTAAATGATAGCATGCTGATGGAGTGCAACTACGGATCAGGAGACGGGCAAGAGAACCGTAATTTACCACGCCATCGCGCGCGGCCCACCGTCTCGCCATGAACGCGGGAAATTTCCAATGTCAGCGCTACGGCGATGCGTGTGGGAAATTTAACTGTGCGCCAGTTCCTCGACAGAGCAGCGGATTTGGTGGGAATCATTGCTTTTTTTTGATTTATCCGCATGAATTGGCCCTGTTTTTGCCCATTTTCTGCACCGTTTATCGCTGTCACGGCTGTCGATGTGGAGTCAGAACAGTTCACCGCAAGCGCGCTCTAGTACCACCCTTTACCCTCCCTATAATATTCAAATTCTATTGGTCCAGCGGGGTAGGCGGCCGTTTGGCGACTATCACTTTCCAGTTGACGTGTTCAGACGGGTAACGGTACGTACCTACCAAGTTGGATAACTGACCGAATCACTGAATTGTGAGGTTTTCGCGAATTATAGCTCACCTAAAACAGTGACTGTTGCCTATTGTGCTCATGATTTCAAACCAAGTCTTTTTCTAATGACCAATTAGGGAAATACATTAGTTTGGAGGTTCGGATGAACTGTTTCAATTGGAAGTCGTTTGCCTGACATGTTTTGACGTGTGGACGACAAAAAATCGCGCCAAACGACATACACCCGTCCAGCGGAAGAACTAATCGCTCGCGACGCAGCGTCGCTCGCCATAGATGCCAGCGCGGCAAATTACGATTCTCTTGCCGTATACCTGAAATTTCGTTTCCAGTCTTCCAGACACCTTGTTCATACTCTACCGTGAACTTGGAGGAATCCTCCTCGAAGGAGGTGTTTTTCCCTTCCTTAATCGCTCAGTAGATCAATCACACTTTTGCTAGCCTCTGCCCAACAAATTAGCTTGACATTAACACCTTAACGAATTTACTTTCTTCAAGCTTACTAACAAATAAATTCAACTGTTATTTACCTTCAAATTATTAAATCATGAAGCGATCACAAATGGTAACCAATGTGGAACTATTGGGGATTATACATATTTCTTATCAAGGCGTAGAAATGAGCCGTATGCCCAGATACAAACGTGAACGCGCAGTCCGCACGATACCGCCTAGATACAGTAAACGAAAATACAACACAGAATTATTCAAAGATACTATAAAAACATGAAAATCTAACACATAGAATAATAGAACCTCTACAAATGACCAAAAAGCCACAGAGAGCATTGATCGGGTGAACGATAAAAACAGAAATAGAAAGGATACTCGACACTTCGCAGAGGACAAACATCAACAACAAACGAAAGCTGTACGAAGCACAACAAGGCTAAAACTCTACGCATCATTGATGGTGAGTCGGTAGAATGATCAATGGGCAAGGCATAGGAAAACATAACCGATCGCACAGGGAACGTAATACATGAACGGGAATTTTGAAACACTGGTCACAAACTGCGTACTATGGCAGTAACAATTTGATAAATGGAGCAATCAACAACTAACAAAGATGCAATTTGCATCATTTCCGCTGAGGCAGACGACGCCGAGCAGCCACCATTTTTCGAGTGCCGCTAGATCTGAATCAGACCGGAATACAGGGGAAACTTCCGACGATTTAAAAGAAGACCTGGCTTTTCCCACTATTACTACTCCAAAAACTCAAAAAGAAATTGCCGAATTTCTGCCTATACATGTTACTCGGTGTCCTGACCATGAATATGTCATTCATTTTTCTGCGCTGACACCATTTGGCGCCACCATATTTCTCACCAGAATCAATCGATTAAACTTGTATGCGGAGGTTATTTTACCCTGATCACGGATATATCATTCGTTTTTATCGCTGGCGCCATATCACACCAACGGCGCCAATTCGAGGCCACAACCTTTCTCACCTAAGCCTCATCATTACGGACTGTCGGGGCGGCACAGCCGCGCTGCACTGTGACGCGACAGCGGCTGCGGCTCGGTGACGGTGAATCAGCTGATTTCGATGGAATTCGGCTGCAAATTCCCACTTTTTCAGCTCTTCAAGCTTCTAAAGTGGAAGGTGAGTTATTCTGAACAATTTTGAATTGTACTGATTTCCTTTATTTTTATGTCGATTATTATGCTCTTTTCCTTGTATTTTGCCTTATTTCAGGCATTTATTCAAATGGCTTACATTCTTTCAGATTCATTCAGAGTCAGTACAATTTAAAATTGTTCAAAATAACTCACCTTCCACTTTCGAAGCTTGAAGAGTTGAAAAAGTGGGAATTCGCAGCCGAATTCCATGGAAATCAGCTGATTCGCCGTCACCGAGCCGCAGCCGCTGTCGCGTCACATTGCAGCGCGGCTGTGCCGCCCCGACAGTCCGTAATGATGAGGACTGTAAGACAGCTGAAACCCTTGTCACGAATATGACCTTCATTTTTCAATACCAGCGGTATTGAAAAATGAAGGTCATATTCGCGCTCTGTTTAGCGCGCTTTGAAGCTGAGCCAGAGAGACTTGGATATTCCCTCCCCGCCAGGCTCAGCCTTTGCACAGCCAGACGATCAGCGTGACCTACACTGGCGCCAAAGCCAAGAGTGGATGTCTTATTCGTGATCAGTATGTCACATAACCGCCGTATACAAGTTTTTATCGATTTCGTTGAGGAAAGCAGATGGCCCCAAATCGGCGCCTGCTACAGATAAATAGCGAATGCGCCAAAAACGAGCGCGATATCCGTGATCATGATGTCATACAACCCCGAATAAAAGTTTTCATCGATTTCGCTGAGAAAACAGATGACGCCAAATTGGCGTAAAATGTCGCCAGCGGTGAAAACGAATGTCAATTCGTGATCGGAGCACTGTATCAATCTCTATGGGCAAAGTTTCACGGAAAAATTCCTTTGAGTTTTTAGAGAAGTAACAGAGGGGTAGTGCCGAAAACTCACGTGAATGAAAAGTTGGAGCTTGGCGCAGCTGGAGCGGTAATACCCGGAATTTGGAAAGCTAAAAAGAATATAATATTATACTGGTTCCATCAAAAAAATCATCTGCTTCATCCTTCTTACTTGGCACTGCTGGAGCAGCCGGTTGTGAAGAGCCGAACTGAAATGGAGCTGATCCACTGAAAGCTGTTGATTGCCCAAATTGGAATGTCGGCTCGGGTATGGTGGCACCAAATTGGAAGGGCCTAAAAAACTGAGATTAGATTCATGGCTACATTTACGCGTGTATTCTGAATATCATACTTGGATGTATCAGCAACAGCTGGAGCGCTACCAAATATGGAAGTAGTTGATGATGTGGATGGCACGGAAGGAATGGAAGGAGTGGAAGAATTCGCAGCACTGAACGCTCCAAATGCATTGCTGTAATGGAATTAAAATGGCAGTAAAAGTGTTAAGAATAGTTGGGTAAAAGATACCTGTTTGATCCAAAACTAAAAGTAAGTCCACCATTCGCAGTAGGAGCGGCAGGAGCAACACTAGAGCCAAATAATGGTTTGTTAACAGAGTTTGTTGATGAAGCACCAAAAAGAGAGGGCTTCTGGGTTTCACTGGGTCCTGCTAGAGCAGCCCCAAACGGTGACGGCTTGAAGCTTTCAGCAGAAGTATTGGCAGTAGCCATGAAAGGCTTGGGATCTGATGGTGGATTTCCAAATGTAGGGAACAATGGCTTCGTAGCTGCGCTAGCACCAAACAGACTTGTGCCTGATCCACTCAAAGCTGGAAATGGTAATAATTATTTCATCGAAAACTGAGTGATCGTTTAATAAAAAATATTTTTCTAAAAGCTTACGTTTCTCGGCAGATCCTGCATTTGGTGCACCAAGAATACCCGTAGAAGATGAAACTTGTTCAGTAGCACTTGGCCCGTTTCCAAAGGATAGTCCACTTCCAAATAATGGCGCTTTCGTGGTACTTTCTTCTTTTTTGCTATCGAATAAACTAAACGGTTTGGTGCCATTCGTGGAAGGTGTTGTTCCAAATCCAAATGGCGCAGGAGCGGCGGTAGATGCAGCCTGCGATTCGCTTATTGTAGGTAATGTAGATGCCGGTGTGGTCGAAGATGGTGTTGCCAGCAATGATCCAGTGGAATGAGAAGTGTTAAACAATGAAGATGATGACGAGCCAAACAACGGAGGCTTTGCTCCGGCGCCAAAGATTGCAGCTCCAGCACTGAAAATATATGGGCAGAATATAAACGGACATTATAAAAGATGCCAGTAGCGACCATAAGAATTTTCGCTATTACGAAACAAATACAAATCATGCAGCTCAAGTTACCCCTCAATATGCTTAGCACCTCCTTCAGCGAGCAGAAATAAGCCTTTCGGTTCAACTACTTTGAGAAGACGTTGGATCGGCTTCCCACCTGGGTGCGTCTCCCCTTGCGGTCACTCTCGGTTGTCATTCTTCGTTGGAAAAGCTGGGGATAGGGTAGTCCGAAATGCTAAAACTCGCCTCAATGAGTTTGATTTGCCTACTTCACCTAGATCAAATTACCTCAGCTATGTATTCCTAACAGGTAACGCAACGATGCTTAGGGCGCAGCCCGTTCCAAAAATGAGGATTTGTGGGGTCAATTTCTAACGACAACGTGTAAGTGATCTAGTAGTGAGGGGAAAAAGAAAAACTCCGCCGGAAATGCCTCAATATAGAATTCGTGCTACACTTCGCTTCGGGCATGAAACGGACCGGACATCGCACGCGGTCGGAAGGGTGACGGTAAACGGCAAAATCGCACTTCAGCATCCGGCCTTTGTGAGCGGCGGTCGCGGCGCGGTTTCGGCACTAGGGCATCATGGTCAACTATCGTCACCAGCGAGTAACATCTTAAGTTGACTACTATGAACTCAACATGGGAATATCACCACACTATACTCACAAAAGCATCGAATCTTGTATAATAATGTTGATGATGGCGTTTCCCACTAAATTTCCGTTGAACTGGAGGTAAAGTCCTGTAAGGAGGGAAAAGCGCCTTCTCATCATGTTTAGGCACCTCGCCCATCAACGTGGGGACATTTCCTCTAAAGTGCACCCGCTTCCTTAATTTAGGCATTCTGCGCTCGAAATGGCTTCTTCAAGATCTGTAGAGAGCTGCCGTAATGTCGTAATTCAAGCAAGTTGGCACGTTCATTTTGCGGTCAGTTACGAGCCACATTTTCAGGTGGCATTTTGGGAGTGATATATACAGTGCGCCTCCAGCAATGCGAAGCATAGGGCACCTTTATACGCAACGCTTCTGACAAAGTACTCTATCTGGGAAACGGTGGCAGGAGGTGTACGCATTGATTTATGCCTTGAACTTTCAACGGGTTGGTTCAGATAATTCCCGGTTGACTCAGTGGAGCCGTTCTGGTGAAGCATTTTGGCCAGCTTTTGGATTTGACCCCATCAAGTTGGTTGAGTATGGCGAGACTTTCTACATTCCTTACAGTGATTGACATCTGAAAAGTGATTACACACACTGGAGATCAAAAGGGTTCACTTCGCTCTTGAATGGGTGATTTTGTTAACTAAGTGTACATTATAATAGCCAGCATTATGCAAGTCATTTAAAGTGTTTCGAATTGAAACATCTATTTTGCTTCCTTTAAACTTCGTCAGGTGCGCGCCTGATTTCGATTGTGCAAAATACGAGCGCTTTCATACTTCGTGGTTGTGCGATCGTATGAGCGCGCGCAGCGTCTTCAGGGTAATCCGGGACCGCGCGCCGGAATGCTCAAGTGCGATTCTGCCGTTTACCTTACGTCCGGTCGGACGAGCTCTCACTTATCAGCTGGTATTAGCTCTTACTCCTTATCACCCATACCACTCTCGCCACTCATGATGGAGAAAGTCAGTGGTGGAACACCCGCCTCATCAGGTATGAGTTGAAAATGATAGCTGGGCGAGATTCTGGTTTCGGTAGCGGGCAGCGCTTTTCTCGCGTATTTTGAACTGTCATATTATCATATCCTCCATCCTTGCAGGGAAACCACTTTAGAAGGAATTGCTTGAACATCAAATGAACGCGGGGCGTGCCTTTGAATTTCCCTCTCCCATTTTTCTAATATGAAGAGAAAACACGACAGTCAGTGAAGAGAAATGACTTTGCTTACCCCAACGAGAATGTCGGCGGCGGTAGCTTTGTCTGATCGGTATTTACTGTCGAACTCTCGAATACGGCTGAAATAAACTGATCAGTACAAGAAAAAGGATCGAAATAATTAGTAAAATTCTCACGGGTTGATGAAGTTTTTGTTATCGACGTTTCTTTGGCGGGTACTGATGAAACAGCTGTGTCAGTGGTTGCAGGCGCAGGTTCCACGCTAGGAGGTTTTGAAATGCTTGACTCCGGTTGTGTAACGGGTTGTTTCTCGCTCGCAGCACCGAAGCCGAATTTAATACCTCCAGAAGTACTGTTGGCAGTACCAAAGCCGAACGAAACTGAAATTCGTAACCGTTCAATAAAAAATGCTGATGTACAGACATGCCTTTGGTCGAAAAAATGTCGAAGGTTTGATTACCTCCAGTGGAAGGAAGCGGCGCAGCTTTAAAGGCACGATCACCAAAGACATTTGTATTCGCTTTTGATGAATCGCCTTCAGACTTGTACATAACATGACCGCAACACACACACTTGTCATCAGACTCCTCAAATCAGATGATTTCAGTTACAGAAACATATAAGCAACGATAAGCAGAGAGATGTTAAAGACAGCTCCCGCGATAAAAGTGTCATGGATAGTTGCTTTTCATTAGAGGCGATAAGTAATTTCCCAAAGAAGAGAAAAAGCAAGAAGAGTTCTCAAGAACACCATAAACAAAATCGCTCCCTGGCAGTCACACCTTCCTGCGGTCTCTGTGTAACCTGCTCATGATTCTCTATATCTCGCCAGTAGCGGGTATCATCCAATGCAATGAAAAGAATACGAAAAACAATAAAAACGTTAAAGAAAAACTCTCGAAAAGGATGAGAAACTTTCAAAACTAGGCTTCCGAATTTAGGGTTACGGTAGCGAGCATATTTTAGTGTAGTGAAGTGCGTCGAGCTTCTGCATCCACGAATTGGGTCGCTCGTGATTGTTACGCGTTTTACATTGCGAAATGGGTTTTGGCAGTTGACGTAATAATCTCCAGTGATATAACAATGTGCACCCAGTATGAATAAAATGTGATGAAGGAGAGCAGAATTATTTACGGGCACGAGCGCGGTCAGCAAAAAGTACATGCAGTTCCGATTAATGCCCGCCGTCCCAACAAAGAACAACTGAGCGGCTCTCCGTCAGAGGGCATCTAGCAAGTGGGCGGTCCAACTGAGCGGGCGTTAGAACTAGAACTTTCAGCGGCTGTAGCTCGCTCCTCGCTCGCTGTGGAGTCGCGAGAGTGGGACAGTCTCTAGCTTGGGGGCTGAACTACTTGCACAAGGAAGGATGACCATGTACTACTTGAACGCGGGGGCTGTCTTTAAAATAAAACCGCGATACACCACCTCACCTTATTCTGAACCATGCAATCGGGACACTCCCACGGTACGCGTTTCTTGTCTGATCCACCTGCTTTGGCTTCTGCTGCGGCTGTTGTAGATGCATTGTTCGTCGTAGAATTTTTGCAAGAATCCTGCTTCGATTCCGGAGCCACAACTGGAGGAGCGGGTTTAGAGGGTGGCACGCCATTGCTACCCCAAGCAGTTTCCTTTGGTGCTGACGATATGGTGCTTGAAGTCGTCCCACTGTTTTTAGCTCCCTCAGAACCGATTCCGAATCGGAATCCGCTGGCGCTAGGTTTCCCAAACGTCGAAATGTTGGAGACCAATGTCTTAGAAGCAGTCGAAGCATCCTTATTATGTCCACAGGCAGCACAGATGGAGACATTCTGTAAGTAAAAATGAAATTTTCCTTGAGCAAACTTTCGGTCCTTTTCTCCTTTTTAAGAAGAAAATTGTGATGGAAACCTTGTTTGTAATGAAGCAATCCGGACAACTCCATGAGGTTTCATTCTTTGTTTGTGGCGATACATCTTTTGACGAAGCTGGAGTAACGTTTGAAGAAATGACACCAGAAGTTTCGCTGTCAGCAGCAGTAGGTGGACGAGAAGGCTGAAAATGGCGAAGTTTGAAGTGAGAAAGAAGGACGCTCAAGGGCCAAAAACGCAAACAAGCTGAATCAAAACTAAAATCGATAGTTAAAGTGATTGAACTTCATGCTAGATTACCTTTGGCTCCTTGACGTTTTCACTTGCTTCTTCCGCATCAGATGTAGAGCTGCTCTGTTCATTATCCGAATCGTTATCGCTACTTTCTGATCCATCAGAACCGCTCCTATCACATTCTGTTGAAGTTCTTTCAATATTTTGTCCCGGCAAACGCTCAACGGGTGCACCGAACGTGAAAACCATATCGTCGAGAAAACCCGCACTTGGTGCCGCTTTTATAGGCGGTGCAAACAAAGGCAAATCATTCTGAAACAATGTGCGTTTTCAAGCTCCAAGGAATTTACTTTCAAGGAGAAAACTTGCCTGTTTATCTTCTGAGGAACCTGCCATTTCGTCGTCAATCAACTGGGTGGCGTTAAATACATTAGCACTGATAGACTTCCCGTCGCTTCCTTAAGAACGAGACCAACTTTTAGAAGCAGAAAACAAACTTAGAGCACTTGCTATCTCTACTAGTATACACTAGAAGTTACTGATTCTATTCGCTCGCTAGAGATGTACAACGTTCGCCATTAAAAGTTGCCATAATTTCGTAATATCTGAACAATGTACAGAAACTCTTCTTCTGATCCTCGTATCTTCACTAAATCCGTCCCGAAAGAATGCTTGCGATTCACCCGAGTTGTTCTCAAATGTTAATCGAGCCCCAGAGACAGGTAC